ACCATGAACCTATACTTCACAAAAAAACATTATAAGTATAAGTGATATGATACTTGTAGCGCCAGAATCTAAGTATAGACTTCAAAGCTAATTTTCATATATATTTGGGCTCTTATTTAATGATAATAAAATTCCTAAGGTTGAGCCCAAACTTGGCATAATTTCAAAGGGCTAGAGTATGGTTTATTTCCCGATCAAGTCGTCATGATTGTAAATAAGAAGTACAAATCGGAAGAGGTGGTTTCTAGATCTTTAAATCACTCACAGAATCTTAGTAAAGTAAAGCTACCTGGGTAATGTGAAAAACATTTTTTCCTCAACATGAAATGCATAGCCCAAAGTGGTGAAGTATGTTCAGTAAAACATAGTACTTGCTTGGGATTACATTCAAGACAGAAAAGTTTAGGCTCGTATCGCCGAATCTGGAGACGACCCTTGAAAAAGTTGAATTGATGGAATCATTAATTTTCAGACACTATACGACAAAGGAATTTCTAAGCCCAAGTGATGAAAAAAGGATGAAAACTAAATATCGTATATGATAATTTAGCATCTAATATAACTGATTTACTGGTAGTCTTGAAACCCTACTTATAGACTAAAAATAATTTCAATGAGTCAAAATGGCTGGCTTGCCTGAGAATACGTTCAAACTCAGCCCTGTCGCGCGCTGCCTGCACTGCTACAAGCCGTTGCTTTTCAACGGCCTGGGCCTCTCTGGCTAACTTTAGTTCGGCCTCAACCTCAGATTCACGCATTTTCAGGACCATCTCTTGGCGACGCCAATCCCGTTCTGCTGCTTCAGCCGCCCTTTTGGCACGTAAAGCATCTCGTTCGGCTGCTTCGTCACGTGCCCTTTCCTGAAGAGAACGAAGACGAGCAACTTCTTTCTCCTTTTCGCTTCGGATACGGGCCTGCTCTTCTTCGTAAGCGGCTTCACGCTTCTGTAGCCCAATGAGCAAGTTAACATAATATATTCGGGAAAGGAAGCGTTTTTGAGCAGAAATATAAGATTAAATAACATGAGGCTTAGCATATATATATATATATATATGCATATGTGAATGTAGCAATTACATATCCAGTCCTTTCTCAGATTTCATAACTCACGTATAAAGAGCTTAAAACTGCATAGTTTGAATCCGTAATTAAAGTCTTGAGGATTGTTTTTTAGGCTATGGGCTAGCTATCCCTTCTTAGCCTCTGTTTGCATCCGATAGCATAGTTCTTCCATCGCCCTAGACCCAACATACCATGGGATTCAAAGGTTCTGAGACAGCACTTCCCTGAAACTAAGCCAACTTTGCGGTATTCATCATTTCTGCTTCTACAGTTCAATTTATTTAATGAGCTCCTAGCCTCTCCTGCATACCCCTGTCCCCACGCTCTATGCCTCCTGTCTCTCGCAATTTGCAAGACTACATCCTAGCGACAGCGCTATTTATCCTCAAAGCGCTGCTAAGTGGCTGCTGAGGAGAATTCAAGCCAAGTTTAGATATTCCAAATTTGAAGTG